AGTACTTCAGGAAAGTCGACGAGGGGGGGGGGGGCTAGTGGAGTACTCCGTGACCACAGAGCGTGACCGTTGTGATCAGCTGTTTTAGCGCAGTTCTCAAGTGAAGGGGGGGAGTCTCCCTTCCGGTTGGCGTAGTTTTGGCACAATTCCGTTGTACAGACAGACGTTAACAGCAGCCCTGTCTGTGCACATGGAGACCGATTCTGTCGTCCGATGATCTAACCGCCTTCTGGAAAAGCTTCACAAGTACGTCGGTACGCAAATGCGCTTTGTGACACAAGAGACGGTACGCATTTTGGATTGTTGCCGCGCATGCGTACCTGCTTACCAGTTATGTGCACCCCTGGCTATACACAGAGGCAAGCAAATCAAAAGTCTAACACACTTTCAGGATCATGTATTGACATTAAGGGAAACAAGGCAGAAGTACAGTGGCTGACAAAATGTATTCATTTCTAATGGGGCTTATATAAACCGTCAGTTTTGGACCATTTATTGAGACACAAATATCGCCATAAATGGGTTTCTGTCATTAGCCGAGGCAAACAGCCACCTATGATGATTTAAGATAACATTCCAGCAACCTGAAAATGAGACGTTAGGTGTAAAACAACAGCGTTGGTCTCTAGCATCTGTGCTTGTAGTCCCAAAAAAAGGTACCCTCTCTAGGCGTCCAACACTCCGGTTGTAGTCTGCAAGTATAAGTCGGCTGTTGGCAGCCAGAATCTCAGCCACCATTCTCCTCCTCTTCCAATAACTGCCCTATCTATATTGCAAAGGCACCAACTAAGCATCCAGTGAAACCCAGGACAAATATGACTGGTAAAATGAAAAAAACACACCAGCCAAAGCGTTTTCCCTATGTACTAGAATAATAATATGTAGAGCCAGTCTGGCTTTGTGTGACCAGACTGTATTTTCTGTGCAAAATGTCGTCTCGTGTTTCCTCAAGACAGTTTTGTTGCATCAAGAGAGAATAAGGTCGTTAAAAACACAACTTTTAAAGATGCCCAAACTGCAAAGCTTCAAAATGTGTTTTTACATACACAAAGGACTGTGAATAACGTCCCCATCACTTTAATCAAAACCGCATTAGAAAAGGGTCTGTAAGTGTAAAAAGTAAACCTTTTCTTTATATCAATGTTTCAATTAAGGAAATGACCCCAAACCAAAACATTGAATACGAGCAGTTTATAATCTCCCACCTTTCTCTGAGCTGTTCGGAGTTCTTCTCCATGCTCTCGTTCTCAGCGAACTCCATCAGCTCTCGGGCGGCGCGGCCCATGTTGACGGCGGTGGGCCGAGCCGAGGTCAGGTGGCACAGAGACTCCCTGATGAAGGTCACGGGGTCATCGCCCCCGGCGCCCGCTCGCAACTCCACAGCAAGGCTGAGGCAGCCGACGATGGCGATGGCCGGGGCGCCCCGCACCTGGAGGAGGAGGAGGAAGAAGAAGAGGACAATCAGCATCACATGGTGGACCTCATCTTTGGTTTCTATGCCAACTTCCTACATCTGTCCCCCAGTTTTCCTGAGGATAATGAATCTTTTTCCACAGTTGTAATAGGGTGATCACAGAGCTGCAAGTTGGCACAGCAGCTTTAAATCAAATGATATCATCTGGAGTCATTTCTGTCTACCATCATGACATCACCCGCTGGTTATGGGACATTCCTTCACTCTGACACACAATATTACGTCTGTCTGCTACTATGTGTGTGTAAACCAGGTAGACAAAAGAGTGAATATCTGCTCAGCCCTAATAAGTGAGCATCTGAAAACCTCCCCTGCTGTTACAGAACTTATAACTCTCTGATCACCTCTCTGTGTCAGGGCTTCAGGTTCAGAGCGATATATGAGCTGGATGTGTCACTGAGTGCAGCGTAAGACCCAAACGCGAACAAAAACCCTGGCAAAGGTCATTAATAATTCATCAATAATCTTTTCCCAAAGAAAGAGCTGTAGGGAGGGGGGAGGAGGAGAGAGGGGGCATATTGCATGGGTGGGTGGCTGTGTGCAGATGCTTACTTTGTCGCGCTTGCACATGATAATGTAAATACTAAACATAAAGGATGGTTTTGTATGGGGGGGGGGGGGA